TATTCTTGCGGATAAATGTTGACATATATATAACAAATATTTGTTGTCTATTTATATTCAACAGGCAACAGTAGAGTTAAGTAAGACAATAATCCCTTCATTCTAGATATTTATCTATATAAATGTCGTAAGCAAAAGAAAATACTACGTATGATTATCCTTGTCTGAAAAAAATAAAAACAGTGTATTGATTGAAATAAATTGTATCAACATTGACATTTTCATTTCTTTTGGTTCTATAAAGATAAGAAACAAGAAAAGTTCGACTTTCTAAATTATTGTTTTAGGTTTTAATTAAAAAAGACAGCATAATGAAGCGTTCCATTGTTATGCTTTTTTTATTTATCTTTTTATTTCAATGTTCAATATCAAATCAAAAACCAGACCATATTTTTGAAAAACAATTAGAAAGAATTATTTCGATGTCAAAACGAAAATTCGAAGGTGAATTCCAACGAATGGGTTCCATCGGTGATAATAAAGATAGTTTTATTCGTAACACTCAAGAAACAGACAATTATCAATCAGAAGTTGATCCTAATGATCGCATTTCTGTTGAATTATGGAATAAATTCAATGAAGAAGATATAAAAAATATGCCTATGATTGATGATTATTCCAATGAACATACAGCTGCACAATGGTTAACATGGTATGTTCGTATTGCACAACGATATAATCAAGTAAGATAAAAATAGACTTTTGAATTAATTTACGAATTTACTCAATTCAGATAGATAGTCATCTTGGTTGGAATTTTTTAACAAATATAAATGAAGAAAATCAGGAAGCATTGATTAATCAAACTCTAATTCGAGCACCATTTACTAAATTATCTTTAACAGCAGCAAAAAAATTCAATGAATATATGAAATATTCTCAAAATGAAGATTTAAAACGTATATTCGGTCGTTTAGCATTAGGTACAATTAATAATAATGAAGACGATTTAAAAAGAACTTCTCAATTACAAGCAGAATTAGAAGATATTTATGCAACAACAAAAGTTTGTGAATCAAATGATCCTGAAAAATGCTATACACTTTCACCATACTTAGAACGATCAATGCAAATTGAAAAAGATTATGATCGTTTAATATGGGCATGGAAAGGTTGGCATGATAGTTGTGGAAATAAAGTTCGACCTGTTTATATACCTTATATCAATCTATTGAATAAAAATACTAAAGAAAATGGATATAAAGATCTATCTGTAAGTGTTTCATAATAAGATACAATCAAAGTTTTGCGAATTCTAATCAAAAATTTATCAACAAGAGACTCATAAAACTTTCCTTGTATTTGATAACTACCATAAAAGGAGTCACCTGTGATTCAACTCACTTTTCTTCACCAGACTAGATATAAATGACTTCTGACTTTACTTTTCATTGAGCGTCAAGAGTTTGTCGAAAAAACAGAATCATGATGATATCTACTAAAAATATTGCCTAACAATACTTTCTAAACTTCTTACTAGAAATTCTTATTTCTTGCACTTTGCATAAGAAAAGAATGTTATATGTAATAGTTATTTTTTTCTAGGAACCATGGATTGCAGAGTATGAGATGGGTGATACTGAAGAATTTGAAGAAATTATTGATCAACTTTTAAATGATACTATACCATTATATGAACAATTACATGCTTATGTTCGAGGTCGCTTATGTTCAATATACCCAAATCGTTTTAATTGTCATGGACCTATTCCAGCTCATATTCTCGGTAAATTTAACTTTTATGAGTAACATAATCAAAGTATACTGTTAAGATGCAGGAATACAGATATGAATATGACCTTCTTCTTCTCTTCAAAAACTATCATCAACTTTTTAAATATAGAATCATAAAGCTCACATATTATTTCTTGTAGGTAATATGTGGGCTCAACAATGGAATGATCGTTTCGATGATTTAATTCCTTATCCTGATGCTCCACTTGTTAATATTACAGGAGCATTAATTGAAAGAGGATATACTGTTCATCGGATGTTTACAACAGCTGAATCATTCTTTACTTCAATTGGTCTTTATCCAATGACACCAAAATTCTGGATTCGTAGTTTATTTGAAAAACCAACCGACCGTGATGTTGTTTGTCATGCATCTGCACATTTTATGCAATATCAAGATGATTTTCGTGTTAAAATGTGTACTGAAGTCAACGATGATCATTTTGATACAGTTCATCATGAATTAGGACATATAGAGTATTTCATGGCTTATGATAGAAATCAACCCTATGTTTATCAAGAAGGAGCTAATGCAGGTTTCCATGAAGCCATTGGAGATACAATTGGTATCTTTGCAAGTAAGTTCTTTTCTTTGTCTTACGAATTTCTTTGTCTTCACTATTTTTTTAGTATCACCGACACATTTAATAACGTTGGGTTTTCTTGACGAAAATGTTGTCAATTCACATTATGAAATTAATTATCTTTTACGTTTAGCATTACAAAAAGTTGCTTTTCTACCGTTTGCTTATGTTATGGATAAATATCGATTTTTACTTTTTCGTAATGAAATTGATCACGAAAATGATGAATTGAATTCAATATGGTGGACACTGCGAATTAAACATGGTGGTATTATGCCGCCTGTACCTCGAAACGACAAAGAAAATTTTGATGCAGGCGCCAAATATCATATACCATCGAATGTTCCCTATTTAAGATATTTTATTGCTCATATCCTTGAATTTCAATTGTATCGCAGTATGTGTCAACTGCAAGGTGTTACAGAACGATTTCATATGTGTGACATATATGGAAATAAACATGTTGGAGAAAAATTGAAAGATATGTTAGATATGGGAAATTCAAAGTCATGGCCAGAAGTTTTACAAAGCTTAAATGGGGAGACCAAATTAGATTCGGGAGCAATATTAGATTTTTTTCAACCATTATATGAATGGTTGAAAAAGGAAAATGATGCAAGAGGTTATCCAGTCGGATGGGATTAACATATATCTTACACAAAAAAATTTACTTTTTTTTCCTAAATAATTCATTTTATAACTTCGGGTAGTAGCGATATTAATACATGTATGTCAAATAATATTGAAATAAAAAAACGTAGCAATTATGAATAAGAAATCATCTATTAAAGTGAGATAACGAGGCGAATTTTGATAAGCATACCAAAGAGGATGTAGGTATTTCCTTAAATCCCTTTTTTCAGGGTGTGAGTGTGTGGGTGTGGGTGGATAAACTCTATGCTAACACCCACAGCCATAACCACAACCATACCCACACCCCACACCCACACCTTGACATGAGCCGCTATCAATGTACCGAGAAGATCAGGTTCTGTTGGTCGAAAGATTTAGATTTTTTCAACATAAATATGACAATAATGAAATAGCACACTAACTGCAATTTCAACACGGTATACTAATCTATGAGTGGTGGATATGAATAGCAAGAATGTCATCCTCATTCTTATTGGTATATCCATACTCAACCTCACCTGCAAGATACATAGATATTGAGGTTCAACGAATTGTTTTTATTTGCAATCTTTATTTATGATATAGAGAGAAATGAATGAAACAAAAACAGATGATTGCATTGAAAAATTGCTCAATTGTTTGATGTTTTGTCTTTTCTGATATTGAGAGATTCGAGAGAAATAGGTTCTAGACCAAGAGATCGTAATGCATTCTTTCCTTGCATCTTTTCCTTTTGCTTTTCATACTAAAAAAGTAAAAAAAAACATTTACTTTTCTTTGAAAAAAATTCATTGAAATTTCAATTTCAAACTTTTTCGTCGACGTCAAATAGACCGGGTTTGGATGTATCATTAAAAAAAGCTTTATATGATTCCTTTTGTTTAATTTTCTGTTGTCGACAGTGTTCAATTTGTTGTTGAGCAGCAACATTAGATGGATTAATCTTGAGAGCAGTTTGAAAATCTTTGATCGCTTGTTCAAAATTCGAGAAAGCTATATAAACTTGACCACGACGGAAAAGACATTTTTCATTTCTAGCATCCAAAGCTAATGCTTTATCACAAAATATTTTACATTGACGATAATCACCTAATTTTAAATAACATAAGGCTAAATTTGATTGTGTAGCAATTTTCAATTGTCTTAATTTAATTGTATCATTCGTTTCTCGAAATGTTGCTGATGAAAGAAGATTTGTAACGATTTGGTATCTTTTCGCAGCCAGTTCATAATAACTATTCTTCAATTACACAAAACAAATCTATTCCATTATAGATTACAAAAAAAAATATTGAAAATACTTTGACAAGATCATCAGCTCGTGCTTTTAATAGTTCTGCTTGTTCAAATTTTTCTTTATCATTTAACAATCGTTCTTCTTCCAACTACAAAAATCAATCAAGAATTCTTTAGAAAAATATTCAATAATGTTGTTTCCTTTTCTTACTCGTTCAAATTTAACCAATGTTACTTCATATTGAATAGATTCATTCATTGGTATCGAAAATTTTTCCAAACCTTGCAGTGCTTTTGCTTTTAAAACTAATTGGCAATGTTCATTGAGAAGCATTTTACAAACAGCACGTTCAACACTAAAATCCAATAAAAAAAAAGAAAACAATATTCAAAATTGGAATAACAATAAAAAGAATCAATCTTTTTTATTAACCCTAAAGGAATATGTTGAAGAAAACCCAATCCAACAATAAATTGAACTGTTCGTTCATCAAATACATTGTCTTTATAGATTCCCTTGAGATTAATTTCTACCGTTCCATCTTCATTAGGTGATTTACGTCCTTCACCTCGACGAATTATTCGTCTAATAATACTTCCATCGTTTTCATCACTTAAATCTTTCCCTTAAAACAAAATTTATTGAAAGAAAAAAACATTGTAAATTATCAAGAAATTGATTTTACCGACAAAATCTAATAATTCTATCTCGAAGATGACACTTGTAGCAGATTGATATTTCTTTTCTCCTTTTGAACCATAAGCATATTTCGGTATTGAAAAAAATCGAGCAATTTCTCCACGCTTCATTGTAGCTACACCAAGATCCCAAGCTGGAATTACCTCTCCTTTACCTAAACTAAAATTAAATTTCTCATCTCGATCTCGACTATTGACAAAGATTTTCCCATCAAGTTCGCTTCCAACATAATGAATAAAAGCTTGATCATCGAACAATGGTTTATCATCATTGATACCTTGACGAACAATTTCTTTTATTAGACCTTTGAATAGAAAGAAAAAGTGAATCAAGAATAAAATTCAATTAGAAATATTTACCTTTATCTTGATTCGGAGAAATATCTTCGCCTTGAAACGGAATTTTTTCTTCTTTTGGTTGAATTGATGTCATTGATATAAAATATTCATTCAATAAAGTCGTTCTTGAAGATTATTCGTTAGTTTGCCGTGAATATTTCTAACGAACAACACTGATACATGCTCGTCATGCATCAATAGACATGTACTGTACGTTTTTAATCGCTTACTTTATTACCAATCATTACATTATTATGAATAGATGTCGTTCAATTGAATCCTTTCCCTTCTCTAGAGAATATACTGAGTTAAGAGTACCCGAAAAAGTACCCTGTTATCAGTATGTCACAGGAACTTTTGGGTACCAAAGTACTTAAGTAGTACTTTGGTAGGTACGCTGCTACAAAATGTATAATAACTGGGTACTTGAAGATACTGATCAGATACTCAATTGGGTACTATTGTACAGTATTTGTAGGTACCCTGCTACCAAAATTTCAGTATGTTCAGGATCGAACCTGACCTTTCACTTTTTGCATTTTTTTTCTCTCAAAGCGATTCATTACATTTTTTTCGATTTTATTCTATTTAATTTTTTCAATTCCAAAAACTCAACAGGTCAAATATCGAGATCTGACCGAACTTGAGTTGGTCGAGTATCCATGAGACCACCTCAGGATAGTTCGCTCTTAATCCAATTGAGTGGCGGTGAAAAGCAACGTGTAGCTTTGGCTCGTGCTCTTATCAAACAGCCAGCCTTGCTTTTGTTAGACGAAGCAACAAGTGCCATGGATTCGTTCAGTGAACAGGTTCGTTTTCTTACGATGCTCATTAATAAAATAGTCATTATCGATATGTATAGATCGTGCAAGAAGCTCTTGAAAATGCACAAACAGACGATCCAACTCGAACTACACTGATCATTGCTCATCGTCTGTCGACGATTCGTTCGTGTGAATTGATCTGCGTTCTTGACAATGAATACTTGGTAGAAAGTGGTACTCATGAAGACTTAATAAAACAACGTGGAGTCTACTATCATATGGTTATTTGCGGCAATACTTCATAAATAGTCTTTGTCGTTATTTTAACGAAACTGATTAGCCATTGAAATAGACTCTCCTATTTTTCTTTTCTGCACTAATTTTTCGAACAATTTTTTTTTATTAATTTTCTTCTCTTAGCAACTCAAAAGACATATTAGCAAATTTAAGCAGTTTTCTAATTGAACTGATTATCAGAGTGATTGATAAGGCAAAGAACAAGTCTCTCTCATTCTTCTCCACCAATGAATTCTGTGTCGACCCTACGGCTTTAATTCAAACAGAAAAAAAAAAACAAATTAATAAGAATGACAAAGAAGAGAAAAAAAACATCAATGTGAAGTTACTACAACATAATTCGTCACCATGATCATGGTGGTGATTCAATTGAATACATTGTGCTGGCCAATAAATAAGCTTCATAAAGGACGCACATTGACAGACAGACAGAGCAACATGGTAGCTTCACTCTTCGATGAACTAAAATATTTGTTACTGATTTTCACTGCAACAATCGAACATAAAAACGTCACACATATCAGCCAAAACTAAACTCATGTTATACTTATTTCTGAGCGTTCTGCTCTTTGCGGTGGCATGAATTATAGTGCAAGGATGTGGGTGTGGAGTGTGCGTGTGCATCTTGCGTTCATCTACGCCAAGCTTCACACTCACACCCAATTATAAGCACTATCCCATTTCTGCTACATTCTTTCTCCGAAAATGATCTACACTGTCAGAAACTTCCTAAAAGAGGCACAAAACTCATAACAGCTTGTAAACTCTTTCGGATAATCCTTTATGACGCCTATTCAGTCGTTTGCTGGAGAATGAATCCAACGTCAACCGATGCAGAATCATGTGAGCTATCTAATGATGATCGTATTGTCTCTCCGCAAACGATCTGCGGTCCTAGAAAATTGCTAAAACTTCCGAAAAAGCCATATAGAAATGAAAGCAAGAAACAGCAGACTTCAATCAATTGGAGTTCTTCGTGGTGCTTGGAATTCCTTTGAAGTCTCCTGAAATCCTCGGTAGTTGTGCAAAGGTCCACCATAAAATATTAAAAATGCTGCGGGTATGAATGTGGATGTGGGTGTGATTTTGGATGCATTGTTCATTAGAAACTTTCAATCACACTCACACCCACACTCACATGCATACCTTCATCATAAACTGAAAAATTTTCATGTATATTATATCAATCTTGGGAGTTAAATATGCGTCAATGGTCAATTAATACTGAAAATAATGATAAAATAGAGATCGTTTGTTTAGCTGAAGATTTTTTACCTATTTCAATATCACAACGATTAATACATTTTATGAGTTTATTGATTATTTAACCCTTTCGCGTCGGAGTTTTTTTTTAGTAAAAAATGTGTTCGTATATAGTGGAAATTTAGTTTTATTACAGTGTGTAAAAAGCTTGTACGTCTGGAAGGAAAAGTAGCTTTCTCAATCGCTGAAAATTCTAAGTGTTCTGTCTGCAACTAGCTCATCGAAGACATTATTTTTCATTCTCACACCTTTTGCAAACATATATTCTCTCTTGCAAATTCATATTGACAGAGTATGGACTACAAACACACGATAAGAGAGTAGTGAGCACGTGTCATTCTTTTGTCGTTTAAATCGTCTTCGTACAAACTTGTGAATCGAAACTTTTTTCAAACTCGATAGTGAGGAGAGGAA